ATTGTTGAAGGCATAAGAGTTTTAAAGATGGGAACAGTATGCCTATTTGACTAATAGATGTGGGCCCCATGATTTATACGGAGAGAAAACAAATTTGTAAAGTTGAAGGACATTCATACAGTTGGCAAACTGGACGTATTCCAAGATATACATTAGATTTCATCTAATTTCTCCCTTGCTAAATTAAATCACAAAACCATGACCTTAGGTCACTAGAGTAATACACTTCAGATATGAGTCCCACATTTATTCTTGATGCCAATAGGGAGTCAGAAACTGGATTAGATAATAAGGGAAAAAATTTATTGGCAAATTAGACAAATCTCTAATAATATGACATATCAAAGAAATCTCTCCTTGGAAAGTACACATGCAAATTGTAACATCAGAAGACTAATTTCCCCTCAGTGCAGAAACGAATTAGAAGTGCAGCAGATGTAGACCCAGCACAGAGATTGGAGAGTTAATATTTCCAGGCAGGTAAGATCATCTACTAAGTCAAGTGCCAGTAAAGGATGTACATTGTCTTTTTCCTTGACGTAACTCTTCCAAACCTCCTAAGGGCTGATATGGTTCCAGACCCTTTTTTCCTTCCCATGTTCCATCACTGCTGAATTCTTTCCTAATGCTTTTGGAAAGCAGAACCTATTCCCAATTTAAGGGTTTGTTGTGGGAGCCTGCAATGGCTATCAGTAGTAACCTAGAGTTTGTGCTTCAGAGAGGGCAAGGTTAAATGTCATCCTGCCCGGAGGCTCATGTTTGGATTAAAACAGTATTAAAGAGGGCACGTTCTGCATGGAGCACTGGGTGTTATGCACAAACAATGAATCATGGAACACTACATCAAAAACTAATGATGTAATGTATGGTGATTAACATAATAAAAAAAAAATCAGATCACCTTAACTCTGCAACTCACCATTCTGTGGTTATTTCAGGCCCATGTATTCTATAAGAAGGCAGGCTGTGCAGGTCCTCTGCACAAAGTTAGTTTTCCCTTTTAGGGGGAATGACTTCTTTTTGCCTTAGGAAAATTGCTTATTCTCCTCTGACAGTCTGCTTTGTGGCATGGATTTTGGAGCATCAGGTCTCCAATGTGTAACTCATTGACTAATATGACCAAAATAACTAGGACAAATCTCAACAGACCATGTATTATAAGATATCAACTCCAGTCACAGAGAGTCAAGTAAATACTCAACTATCCTCAAAAGGGATTTGTGTAGCCCTTCCCCCTCCTTTTTCACCTGCCATAAAGTTTGCTTCTCTTAGTTTGAGGAAATCAGGTCAACCCAAATCAGGCTCCCAAATCGGAACTTCATTAGGTCGTAGCAGTTCAGTACTCAACAAAGTTCACAAGCCTCATGTGTTTTATTCAAACACTTAAAAATAAGGCAACTGAGTCTTCTGATCTTTATATAAAGATCTTATATATATATACTCCTATATACATTTATATACTTAAATGTTAATCTGTGATCTGTTCCTATGGAAGGGGAGGCTAGATACCAGGAAGACAAAGATAGTGAAGAAAGGAAACAAAAAAAGGGTGGGGGTTCATGCAGGGCTAGCCTAACGCTCTGCAGAAATATTAAGCTGCACAGGGCCAGCAGCCCCCAACTGTTTACTCTCCCAGCCTCAAATTTCAACTATCAAAGTCATCAATAGGTTAGATAACAAAGACTGATGACTTGTTTTCTCAAACGCCTTACTTGAAATGCACAAGTCGCTTCAGATGGGTTTTCTATCTCCCTCTTATTAGCATAATAGCAGAGATTAGTTTATAAGATTAGTGAGTTAATCTGATATCTCAGTGCCCGAGGGAATAAAATATAAAATGGATTAATTTCAGAGTATGACAGGATATGACAGTGATGAATAGTGGGAAATGGAAAGCAGGATAAAGTGGTGAGGTCTAACGTTTGTCAGGGCTTCAAGAGGCATATTTTCATCCAGAATGCAATCCAAAGTTTTAGAAGTTCTGATGTGATAAATTTTTCAGTAATGCTCTGCTCACAGTTTGATACACCCACACACACCCATCCTGTTACCAAGCTGAGAAAAGACATCTATAACTCATCTCTTTCTGTGACAGTTATATGTTTATGCAACATTAGGTCATTATCTCTGGGATGTCAGTTCTCTGACATCCTGGGACAACAGGCCGTCTGATATTTAAAATAAGGAAAACTCTATCTCAGCTGTAGCACTGACCTCTGGCTCTGCTATTTCCTCTTTCCAGCACCATCCTCAGATTATTGACTCTCTTCAGCTTAGCATAAGTACCTCCGTGGGTGGCCTATTTCTGATGAAGATCAACTCCTTTTTGACTTCAGTATAGAATATTCTCGTCTGTGTCTAATTCCCTAATAAGGTCAGCTAGTTCAGGGTGAACGAGTGAGTGTTGAAAGCCAAGGAAGATGGACTAGAAGAGACAGAGATGTTCTGCTGCCTCTGAGAGTTCTCCTTACACCGAGACAGGCCTGTCAGCACTGGCTTACATAGCATGATTTCAGAGGCACAGAGTTGGTCTCTCTGGTCTACGGAAATACGTGCGATGCTCTAGACAGAAACTGGGGAGAAACAGAAGAGCAGAGGGGAAATGTACAGGAAGCAGAGGCTGAAGGCCACAAAGACAATCGCCTGCTTTGGAAGAGTCCTGCTAATCAGACTTGCCTGAAATGGAAAGCAATTATAGCCAGTTTCTTTGAAAGGCCAGCTTGGGCTTTGCCCATAGCATTAAATTCTTAGTGAATTTCTACCTCATTGACCCAGGGGGGCCTCAAACTCTGAGATCAATACTTTAGTAACAAAGCTGGTGCCAGACAGTGCTGGATAGAAGGCTGGATTCCAACTGAAATGAAATGTAAAGAAGCTTTTTTGGTAATTCCTGGTCCTACTATTTTATTCTCTCTGCCATTAAGTGATATATGATGATCCCTCAGCAGCTCTGTGTGTTATTCAATCACCAGGGAACAGACCACACAGCATCTGAAGTTAGAAGTGTTTGCTTGTGCCAGTGTATCAGCTTGTTGCCAAAACGCTTCTGGCTAAATCATGTTGAGAAGATAAGCTTGTAAAGTCAGGATATGGCTGCAAAATGCCATATTTTCTCCTCTGGGAGCCCCTGAGGGTTTTATCTGTTGTCAGGACACTGTTAATTCAGTGGGAGCCTGGCTGCCTTGTACTTCAGCATTCAATTCTCTGAGATGTTCCAGGAAGAGAGAGAGAGATCAACTGGCAAAGTTTCTCTGGAAACTGATTTCAAAGTGTTCATGAGGCAATTCTAGATTGGTTCTTTTTATTAAATATGTGGTTTCCAACTCTATGTATTTAGCATAGTAGCAGTACTAGTGGGATTTATAATAAAATACTCTTGGGAATGTCATACAATTCATAGAAGAGACTCAGACTCAAGTTCTGTTTTGTTTTTTTTAAATTTTGGGCCCCCGAATGCTAATAGCAGAGGACTACTGTTGCCTATCCAATTAGCCACAGGATTTAGTTAAGGTATATCTAAAGGGTCTATTACTGCAAAGGGTGGGGTGGCAGCGGAAGAAGATTCCTTGAACACTTTCTTTGTACTCTGTGCTATTTTAGGAATTATACTATACGACCTCATTTAGTTTTCAACAACTTTAGGAATTATTATCTCTTTTACATAGATAAGAAAATTGTCTCAGAAACATAAAACTCTCCAAAGGTCACAGTTCCTAGAAGAAACAGAATTTATATGCAGGTAATGACTCAAAAACCCATGTTCTTTCCACTGTAGCTTGTTTCTTTAAAAGTTTCTCTCTCAGGGAAAATACCACAGAATCTACTGCCTGGCTTAATATCTTCATCAGAATCTAGAACTAATTTTCTAACAAATTGGCATGTAGTAGGCTGAGCAGCATGCCCACAAGCACAGTTGTGTCCAACAAGGCCGGGTGAAGAACACGCCAGGGGAGAAATAAAACCCCAGCGTGGCCAGAGAGGTTTAGCCTCTCTGATGAGTCACGGTCGGAGGCACAGCCAAATTTGGCCTCTCTTCTTTCTGAGCCAGAATAAGCTCTGCATTTGCCAGCTCTGTTGTTGGTGTCTTCTTTGTTTCCCGGAAGGCAGGGATATATGAAAACACCAACTTTGTTAAAGGAGTAATTCTTTTAAAAAGGTAGTGTGGAGTAGAAAGCACACCCCACTAGGATGCTAGAGATCCAGGTTCTACCCAAGAGAATGGGAAACAGTTTCACACCTAGTCTGGCTTGTTGAGCTGAGAAAGATTGTTAAGTCAGGGTCAAGCTCATCAGGCAAGAGTGCTGGGCGTGCATGACTGCAGGGCAGGGAAAGGTGGTACATACCACATATCTACCATTCGTTTTCTAGTCCTTCCTTCTATCTATTAACTTGATGACTTCTGGCACTGATTCAGCATCTTAAGGCCTTTGTAAAATGGGGACAATGGCAACTTCTTCATCTACAGGGAGAGCAGCTAGGCCAGCTGATCTCTTCAGGTCTGTTTCAGCTGTGAGGTTTAAGATTCCATTTTCCAGCATAAACCTTAGCACTGGATGGGCTTTAATGGGGTTAGTCACTGGTGGCTTTAAAAATGATATGACTTTTAAAAGGGCAACTGCAATTTTAAAATGATTCTGGTTTAAGTCAAAGAGATGAACAATATATCAATTCTTTCTTCATATCAGAAGAACACTGAGGATGTCTATGAAATGGCTAAATTAATTATAGCCTGGGTTCACTAGCACAAAGAAAATTATTTAGGAATATATAGAAAGGTAGGGGGGTATTCTAAATATCTATGCAGATTTTGAGTCTTATGGAAATAACACTGTGAGAAAACAAAAACCTCATTACAGCCTTGTCTTGAGAAGAAACAGAGATGATGTTTCCTTTGTGTGAAATGTTCAATGAAGAGCACTTCTCACTGCTTTCAATACCCATGCTCCATGCAATCAATACAAAATAGGCTCAAAATTGCTTATTACAGGTCTATGGCTTACCTGGGATCACAGAGAAATTTGGTTTTCTCTCCTTCTTCTCTCCAGATAAGCCATTCTCGAAAAGAAGGATGTACAAACATACGAGTCATGTCTCTGCGCTTGATTAGGAACATGGAGAGGTTCTCCATTCTCTGCTGAAAATCCTCCCATTCTAGGGTGCCTTCAATGCTACCAGCATTGATGGCCTGGAAGATATGTTCATCAGTGAGTGGGTGCAGAGAGGCCACTGCCACATTCAGGAGAGGCATCACCCGGTCAAAGGAAGACTGGGTTGGGAACTTCATATTGCACTGGAGTAAATAAACCTCAGAGAGCGAAACAGGAACTACTTTGTAGCTAGAGCTCTTTAACACTAGATAGCCTTTCTCTATGAGGTCAAATGTGAGTTTCAGGTATAGATAGGACCCTTGACTGAGGGTCTTGAGGTGAGAACTGAGTTTGCCAAATGTAGTATTGTCCATTTTGCCATTAAGTGAAATGTTATTCTGGATCTCTGAGCTGCTGTGTATCCGGTGCAGGATGTAAGCCTGCAGATCCTGGTCTATGGCTTCATTCTCTTCTAGTCGATCCAAAAAAATCCTATGGAAAGGCAGCAGCTTGGTAATTTCCTAAAACAGATGGAGAGAGAGAGAGAGACAGAAAGACCTTCAGTTTCCCCTAACTCTTGTGATACACTCTGAGGTCCACACATTTATTCTAAACTTCCGAGTGGCCAAAGAGGGAAATATGATCAAGTATTAGTATGCATAGGTTAAAACAAATTTGTTGCACAGAGGGGACACAACTTTTCCTAACATTGAGACTTGAGATAATTTTTTATTGGTCTTCACAAAGGGTACTTTAGGAGTGATTTAATAGTCAATATTCTAAATTACACCCCTAACATAAATAGAAAGTGGAGTGCCATATAACTCTTTTGTTGTAATCTTAGTGTAAATCATGGCGTAACATCAAAGTACAATTCAATAAGAGAAATGCACAAGGACTCAAAGAACACCATATAAAAATGTGCCTTTCTAACCTTCCTAATAAGATGACTACATTTTAGTGAAGACTTTTTGGAGATGCTTAGCCTAAAGAAATACTTCTAATATGCTTGGTACCTTGGTGATCTGCTTGGAAATTATACTGGGGAAAGGTGATAGGGCTTTGTGGTTACTTATGCTCTGGATGCCATCTTATCTGCACACAGACTTTGGTCCTGCAAGTATCCTCTTTCTTCTGCATCAATTTCTTCTTCTTTACTGGATCACACAGACGAATGGCACCACAATCCCTCCCCCCAGCTACTATCCTAAAACTCTGTCCCCATTTTTAGCAAAACTTCACAGAAGAGTTTTCTCTACTTCTCTCTCTTGTTCCTCCTTCCCATTCTGTCCTCTCTTTGTTGCAATCAGATTCAACACCGCATCATTTCACTGAAATGATTCTTGTCAAGGTTTTATGTAATCTCCACCTTGCCTGGATGAGGCCTAACCTGTGTTTCCGGCTTAGTCCTCTCCCCTGAGCTCTCATTGTATACGTTGGTCTACTCGACATTTACATTGGAATGTTGTATAGACAAACTTCACATGACTAAATCAGAACTAATGAATTTTGCCCCCTGCCACAAAACCTTCCCATGTCAATGAACCGCATTACCACCAACCCCACCACCAAATTATAGGCCTCTATGATCTTTCTCTTTTCCTCATACTGGCATTTACCCAATTGTGCACCAAAATCCCATGTTTTGCTTTTGAATCTTCTCTCTTGACCACCCCACATTCAGCCCATCATTAAGTCCTTTTGATTCTCCTTCATAGTATAGTCCAAATACGACCACTTCACAGGGTCCCTACCATGACCACTCTAGTCTAAGCCTTTCCCCTATACTGCTCCTATTCTCGATCCCCTACCTTTTATTATCTTTGTGGCCAGCAGCCAAAGAAATCTTTTAAAAAGGTAAATCAGATCTCATTATTTTGCCAGGCTCCTGGGAGAGGGCTTTCCCATGGCCCTATCTAAAATAACTATAATTCCCATTTATCTGTTTATCCTATTTTATTTGTCTTCAGAACACCAATACTACCTAAAATTTTAATATATGTTTAATTTTTCACTTAGTTTTTGTTTGTGTTCCTCACTGGAATATAAGCTTTATGAGGGCAGGGATATAGTTTGTCTTGTTTACTGCTCTATCTTCAGCTCCTAGAAAGTGCCTGACACACTTGGAGTACTTCAGAAATGTCTGTGGAAATAATGAATTATCAAATATGAGGGTTCTTTTTTTTTAAAGACCTGTGAATTATTTCACTGTCAGAGCTGAATGAAAATAAGAAAATTCTTTGTCAAAGTGAATGAAGTATCTGGGAAGTTATACAGGTCTTGATTTATGAGGACACTGAAATTTTGACTTTGTAGATTAATATGTATAGTAGTACATATTTTTTCCTGTCCTTTGGCACAGCTGAAAAGTTAAAGTCATCTGCTCATCAAGTCATACTTAAAATGTCTTTTGACTCTGCGCATGGCATTATGTAAAAATACAAATGAGGATAACATCTCCTAAGCATACATTTAGTAAAACTAGTCAGAGATTGTGTTCCTGGAAGTTTCTTTTTTTCATCCTTCATTTTTAACAATCAAGTTACTGACCAGTAACAGTAGATTACATAATTTTTAGTTGTAAAGATGCATTTACATTGATTCATCCACATTCTTTAATTTAAATTACTTTGAGATTAACAACAAACATCTGCAAGGTGGTGGCCAGCATTATAAGTATAGTTTCCGATTGAAGAAGGCAGCAAAGCTAATTGGTCAACATGCAGAAATACTACTAAGTCCCTGGGAATGGGGAAAAAGAAGGAGAAACTGTTTTCTGTACACTATTAATTATTACAAGTGGGTTGTATCGAAATAGTGGGATAGGTGTGTAATATGTGAGACTTTGATGTTCAACAAACAAGGCAATGGTTAGACAAAAAAAGGTTGCGAAACTGTTCCAAACCAAGTATGAATATGTAAGGAATAGGGGATACCAACTCAACTACAACGAGAACAAGGTTTTATGTAACCTTGTGAGAGATTAGGTGAAGTTATTTATCCTTAGCCCATATGTCTTTGCAGGCTCAGTCCCACATTTCTAGTCCTTCTTCTAGGCTATTAAGTGATCAGTGAGTGAGGATGGAAGGTAAAAAAGATAAAAAAAAAATCTTATCTCCCAGTTGTAGTACATTTAATCTAAAGCCTTAATGCTGCCAATATTTCTTAGAGGACGGCATACACCGTCCTGTTATAGAAAAGTTGTCTGAGTTGAAGCAGAGGCGGGAAGGAGAAAATCTGACTCTAAATGGCAGACAGAACTGGGTTTTACATGGCATTACATGATAAAAAAAAAAAAAAGTAAAACAAAACTCAAACAGCAAATTAGAGTGTTAGGGATATAATTTGCATTGCTGTGCTCAGGACAAAGTCTAGAAAAATGGACCTTCTTTTCATGTGATTTTGAGGGACACTTTATCAAAACTTATCCAGAGCAATGGGAATGGGAATCTGAACTAAGAGAGTCATACACAGAGACTGGACTGAGATCATCTGATCTCTCACTCTCAAAATATACTCTTTGGGAATTATTCTTGCTAGTGCTCTAGGACATGGTAGAGGTTTAAAAAAACTCATCACTAAGGAATAAGGATCTAGAACTTTTTCTGTTTAAGTACTCTCCAAGAGAAATAATATATGGTCCCAAAGCAAACAAACACATACCTGTAAACTGGTCCTAACTGTTACAATTAGTTTGAGCCAAGAAGGAAATTTTCCAATCATTTTACTCAGAAATGAAACAATTGTGTCCCCATAATCCGGTTTGTGAAATTCTGCTTCATTTAATCCATCAATTAGGATGATGAAATCTTCATCTGGGATTTTTCTCTCTGAGACAGAAAGAAACAGATTACTTAATAATTACCAAGTGGATAACTGAGTTCTTTTTGGGTCTTTGATCACGTATCTGTTTGGGGAAAAAAAAAATTAGAAAAGATCTCTTATGTGTTTACTAAATGCTCAGGGTACATAATTTATTATAAAGACAAAGAATAATTCATCTAGTGAATTCATTTTGTTTTTACCAGGGGTGAAAGTTTTGTTACATCTGTAATGTATGAAGTGTATGTATCATCATCATCTCCCCCATGTTATCATTTGTGAGACAGCCTGACCATGACATTTGTGAAAATTTGCACATGGAAATTCATTTTTCTCCCATACTTGAAAATCCTGAAAAGAATGTGTTGGTTTTTTCTATCTGATAGCACTTAAGAGAACAGAGTCACATGTTCTTTTGGGAACCACCCCCCCACCGGCGCCCCCACCAAAAAGGTTTAATGTGAAGTCCAAAACAGTATATATGACTTGATGTGAATGTGTAGTGGGAAGGAAGGGTGTGGAACAGAGAAAAGGAATCCCAGCCAACAGAGAGATCTCAACTAGGCAGGTTGGATCCCAAGATCTTACAGAACTAGCAGCTTCCTAGACTATACCTAATGCAGCTTCAATGGGACCAGACACTTGTATGATCTTCCCAGGAGGAAGGAGTCAATGGGAAAGACAAATGCCTGCCAGTTTTGTGTTTAGTTCCCTCCTGAACTCTATACTCTACTCTCCTAACTTGATAAAATCCGTTGATCTTTAGGGTGAAGCTGTAGAAAAAGGCTTGGTGGGTTTTCAGGCTTCCACTCTCGTTAAATGCTTAGTGATTCTTGAACCACAGTGAACAAATTAGAGATTTAAAAAACCCCAGGTTGAATGCACACGTTAGTACAAATGAATTTTAAGTAAGAAGTAAAAATCACTACATTTGACACTAAACAACATGGCTTTGAATTGCACGGGTCCACCTACATGTGGATTTTTTAAGAGAAATACAGTACAGTACTGTAAATGTATTTTCTCGTATGATTTTCTGAGTAACTTTTTTCTCTAGCTTACTTTATTGTAAGAATACATTACATAATACATACACCATACAGAATATGTGTTGACTATGTTATCGGTAAGGCTTCAGGTAAAAAAAGGGCTATTAAAAGTTAAATTTTGGGGGAGTCACAAGTTGTATGCAGATTTTTGTCTCTGTAGGTGTCGGTGCCCCTAACCTCTGGGTTGTTTAAGGATCAAGTGTGGTTAGTATGACTTGACAGGTTCTTAAGGGAGGAAAGCAGGGGGAAGAAAAAAGTCACTGAATACCTGAAATGGAACACAGGTTACATCTGAGGAGGAAAAGAGTAAGTTGGGGACAAAAGGAAAAGTCTGTGGACTTCTGTACAAGATTGGCTCTTTTAAAAGAGTCAAGACCCAGGGCGCCTGGGTGGCTCAGTTGGTTAAACGACTGCCTTTGGCTCAGGTCATGATCCTGGAGTCCCAGGATCGAGTCCCGCATTGGGCTCCCTGCTCGGCAGGGAGTCTGCTTCTCCCTCTGACCCTCCTCCCTGTGATGCTGTCTCTCATTCTCTCTCTCTCAAATAAATAAATAAAATCT